AAAGTCGCGATGACATTGCGATTATTATACAGCCAAACTTCCTGTAAGTCACCTCGACGAATTCCACCCTGGCTCGCATCTGTTGAAATATCAAACCCCCCCGCAAGTTCCCGCAAATTATTTAATTGCTATCTGAATATACACATACTAACACATACTACCACATAAGCTGTTATTTGAATCCTGTTGTATCTTGCTAGATATGCTCCACGAAACACAAATATTTTAAGGTTAGAATCAACAAAACTAGTGTTTACGTATTTCATTAAAAGCATGACAAAACAAAAGCACAAATAATTAAACACTTATACAGATATTTTCTACATACAATGTGAAACATTTTCCATTTTAAGGTATTTTAATTGGTCAAACTGTTTAAGAATACGAGAACGTCAAAGTTAAGGAACTTGTCTAATCATCAAACTTGCACGCACTACGTGGCAAGAACAGTTGACTTTCAAGGGCTGGTGGAAGACAACGGCTGGACAATAAAATACCAATTAAATATTTTTGATGTCTAGGGACATTTCTTAGCTTAAAATAATTGTAACAATATTGATATATTAACACGAATTTTTTAGGTTTTGGCCAAAATAAAGGCATTTCATCTCAATGTGCAGTGTATGTAATTTTGTCGAATATAAAACTGAAACAGAAATAAACTAGAGCTGCTATAGACCCAGCTGAAACCAATCAATGAAATCCATCCCGGGTCGGGCCAGGATTCCCTGGCGCATGGGGAAATACATAAACACACACACGACACTCGCACGCGAGAGTGACAACAAAGCGCTGTGTCCTGCTGTAGCTGCAACGTCGGCGGAGGCGGAGGAATTCCGCAATATGTGCAGGGCCTGCCAGCCATATGGCGGCTCCTAAGGGTGGTGTGGTGAATGGTGGTGGCGGTGGCACAAGCCCCAGGCGAGAACTTCACTCATTCGTCGGCTAAACAGCGATCAGGACACACACATCTATTCATCGGAAGAAATCAGCGCCAGCACAGTCAAGGTGAGTTCGATCTGTTCAGGAATATTATAGCAAGCCTAACTTTACCTCTCCTCACCTTAGATGATACCGCCAAGTGAGGGTCCCGCTTTATTGGAATATTCCTACGCTGGGGAGTCCCAGTTCTCAGAAGACTCTGCCTGTGGTCAGAGTCGCTGTGGCAAGGCCCAGACAGCCTTAGAGGTCTACCAAAGAATACTCCAGCGCCTTAGAGGTCTACCAAAGAATACTCCAGCGCCTCGAAAGGCAAGAAGACACCACAAAAGCCCATCAAAACGATCTAAAGAGACAAATTTGGATTGCTAGCTTTACTGGAGAAACCATAAGCTTTGGATCGTTCTGCTGTTGTGTCAACTATGCTTCGACCTGGCAGAATATCATTCGTAATTCAGTTTCCCTCGAATACAGTCGACATCAAAATCTCTCCAGTAACATTTTAAAAATATTTTTTTTAGTTTAGTATATATAAAATTTATAAGAGCGAAATTCTACATTGATAATATGGTGAACATGGTGAGCGTAACTACAAACAACCATTATGTTTTATATACAAAATATCTGAAAACCTTGCGAAATTCTAGATTTCATTTAAATTAGATTTAAAATATTTCAAAGCCAATAGCAACACTTACCCCTCCGAGCGCACGCGAAAATAGTGTCCGGCTGCGGCTCGTCGGCTATAGGTGTGGTGGTCTTGCTCGACTCTCGGATTGCCTTCAATAATAATTTCGATATTCGCGTTCTAAGACAAGCTAATAAAACCGGATAGAGAAGATATCTTTCCCCTTTCTGCTGCCTTCCGCCTCCTACCTCCTTTGCTGGTCTAGAGGTTCTGGCTCGCCCTCCCTACCTATAGTCGCTCCTGCCTCAGTGCTTAATAGCCTGAGCGACCCCTTCATCGTGCTACCCTACATACGTTAGCCGCGGCCACTTTCAAAGTTCTTTAAACCATTATACATTTATTCTAAATAATTAAAAAAAATATTTCCTAACATGTAGATACATAAATAAATTTCAAACATAATTAAAACTTTAAAAATAAATATGTAACGTCCTGTCGTCCACGGGTAGTCAGCGGGACGTCCAGGGTCTGTGCAGATATATTTATTTGGTTCAGGCGTGGTTGCTGTAAGAGATTTTCCCCGATCCGTTTGCCCCCCAGGGAGAACTCGAGAGGGAAATACAGTAAAGAGTAAGAGTACGGTTTATTGACGGAATGTTACAGGGAGGTAAATTGATCAGGATTTCGGCTGTGCTGGTGACCCACAGGATGGCTCGGCCGACGGAAAAGATCGTGTCCGTGAACCCCGGGTGACGGTGGGCGTAGGCTTCTCGCGTCTGGGTGGGTCCTCTCGCGTCTGGATGCCGTCAGCTGCAGCTTGTGCCTGGGGAAGAGGGAGAAGAGAGAGGTTGGCTCTGCTCGGGGTGGCGGGTGGTTGTTGGCCGCGCAGGTCCGTATGCCGTCCGTCGCGTGGGTTCGCCAGTCGGCTCGGAGGGTGGAAGTGGGACTCGAAAGTCTGCACGGAGAAGTTGTTGTCTTGGACTCGGAAGTCTGCCAGGAGAAGTGTGGTTTGGGACTCGAAAGTCTGCCAGGAGAAGTGTGGTTTGGGACTCGAAAGTCGGCCAGGAGAAGTGTGGTTTGGGACTCGAAAGTCTGCCCGGAGAAGTTGTTGTTTGGGACTCGAAAGTCTGCCTGGAGAAGTGTGGTTTGGGACTCGAAAGTCTGCCCGGAGAAGTGTGGTTTGGGACTCGAAAGTCTGCCGGAGAAGTGTGGTTTGGGACTCGAAAGTCTGCCAGGAGAAGTGTGGTTTGGGACTCGGAAGTCTGCCGGAGAAGTTGTTGTTTGGGACTCGAAAGTCTGCCCGGAGAAGTGTGGTTTGGGACTCGAAAGTCTGCCGGAGAAGTGCGGTGTGGGACTCGAAAGTCTGCCGGAGAAGTGCGGTTTGGGACTCGAAAGTCTGCCCGGAGAATTGGACCCTAAAGTCAGCAGAGAGGTGGACCCTAAAGTCGGCAGAGATTTGGACCCTAAAGTCAGCAGAGATTTGGACCCTAAAGTCAGCAGAGAGGTGGACCCTAAAGTCGGCAGAGATTTGGACCCTAAAGTCAGCAGAGATTTGGACCCTAAAGTCAGCAGAGAGGTGGACCCTAAAGTCGGCAGAGATTTGGACCCTAAAGTCAGCAGAGATTTGGACCCTAAAGTCAGCAGAGATTTGGACCCTAAAGTCAGCAGAGAGGTGGACCCTAAAGTCGGCAGAGATTTGGACCCTAAAGTCAGCAGAGGTTTGGACCCTAAAGTCGGCAGAGGTGGACCCTAAAGTCGGCAACGATTTGGACCCTAAAGTCAGCAAGGAGGAGGGAGGGGGGTTAGCGGGGAGGACTACGACTAACTACTATGTATTGGGCGGAACCTGGATTTACCTGGTTCCCGAAAAGTGACTTGGCTGCTTGGGTGATTACGATCGCAATCAGCGGCTGAGTGCCTGCTCCAGTGCCGTGGCCCGCTTTATATAGGGCTCGGCGAGGCCCTAGTGTGGCCAGCTCCCTGGTCGGTTTTTGCCACCGATAGTGTGCCCGGCCGTCGTATAGCCAGTGTGGCCGTTCGCTGATCGTGCGCGCGCGCGCTTTTGATTTAAATTCGCGTGTGTCTTCCCTTTTCCTCCTTCCTCGCGTTTGCTCGATTGAAACACTTCATGTTCCCTTGTTTTTTGTGTTTATTGCAGCCACTTCATTTCTTTTGTTTTCTGTTCACATTTAACTTCATGTTTCTTTTGGTTTCTTTACTTCATTTTCTTTTGGTTTTCTTTTTCCTTTTTCTTATTATTGCCTATTACTTCATGTTTCTTTTGGTTTCTTTACTTCATTTTTGCTTACATATTATATTCTTATTTATTCTAATATTTTTATCTCTACTTTGTGCGCGCAGCGTCACACCCCCCCTTTGGGAAGTGGCGGCGAATTGTGACGTGGTTGCCTCTATTTGAGACAATCCGCCAGACGTTGCTTCCGTCCTGCTCCAACCATTTCTTCTGTTTTGCGATTCGCTTCGTTGCCAGCTTCTGTCGGATTTTTGCCATTGCCGCATCTGATATACAGCTTCCGGACGGCACGATCCATCCGTACTCATTTCTCTCCTCAGAGTGAATCTCCAGCACGTCCCGATCTGGTGACCTGGTCTGCCGTCTGGCCTCCGGCGCCGCCTCGTGTCTGTCGCTCGCTTGCCCTAGCTGACTCGGCCCTGCTGGTTCCTGCTCGTTGCGTTGTGGGCCCTCTGGTTGCCCTTCTTCTGCTGCGGGCTTTTGCAGGACTCGGACTTGAGTGGCGGGTGCCATCGCCCATCCGGTCACTTGTTGTTGTGTCTGCTGCTGCGCACCGCTGCATCCAGGTCCCTCTGCGTGTCTGTGCTCCTTCGGGGTGTGGGCGATCCTGCTCCTCCCCGGGCGGACGGGTGCCGTCGGCGGCCCAGCGAGCGGTTCGCCCCCACTCTCCGGCGCCTGCGCGTTCCTGCTGCCCATCCTGGTTGGTGCCGTCCGCTTTCTTACCGTCCCCGGTGCCACGCTCGGGTCGATGAGTTGCGTTCGCGGCGCCCCGCGTGCCGCCTTGTCGAAATTCTTCCGGAATTTCTCCGCGCTTGCTTGAAAGCGATGCATCGTCTCTGCTGGAAGGATACGAAAAGAACCCATGTTAGTTTTCGGCCAGCTGATTAGCTCGTCTTCTAGTGTTAGGCTACGTCCTATGTGGTTATAGTGTTGTATAACGTTAGGTTCGGGTCGCTGTGTTAGGTTGTGGTCTTTGCCTGTTATCGGTTCCTGACTCTGATTATCTGCCCTATCGCTCTCTTGCCTTTGCCCTTTGCCCCCTGTGCCGATCTCTGCTCTGGCTCTGCCCCTTTCTGAGGCTTAATATCCCCTATATATGCCCGTTTTGTTTTCCGGGTTTTCGGGTCTCTTAGTGTCAATATCACTGGGGATATGAACCCTCCTATTTTCCGGGGTCCGTCATACCGTGGTGCCAGTTTTGCGTTGAATGTCAGTGTGGCCTTGCCCTTTTTCCAGATGCTTTTCAAGATGCTCCCTCTTAGTCCGGCCTATCACAATAATATCATCTAGGTACGCGAACGCGAACGGTTCCATCTCTGGCCCAATTATTGTGTCTAACGCCCTCTGGAACGTTGCCGGGGCGGTGGTTAGCCCAAATGGCATTACCGTCCATTGGAACAGCCCTCGTCCTGGAACCGTGAATGCAGTGTATTGCCTGCTTCCTTGTTCCATCGGGATTTGCCAATATCCTGACTTCAGGTCTATGGTGCTTATAAATTTTGCCTCCCTTAATTGGTCCAGGATGAAGTTCATTCGCGGTACCGGGTATGCATCCTTCTCTGTTTTCTCATTCAGCTGTCTGTAATCGATGCACATCCTCCATTCGTTATTCTTTTTCCTTACCAACACGACTGGTGCGCTATACGGACTCCTCGATCGTTCTATTAACCCCAGAGTCAACAGTTCGTCTACCTGTTCGTCGATGACCGCCTGTTGCTTGGGATTTCGCAGGTAGTATCGCTGCTTGATCGGTCTGTCGTCGTTCAGGTATATTTTGTGTTCGGTCACGTTGCTTACCCCCTTCATGTCCTCGAATACTTGCCTGTTCTTGTTCAGGAACTGCTGCACTTCCTCTTCTGACGGTTCTCCTGCCTTCTCTGCTATCGTATCCTTTTCCTCCCTTGTCGGTGTTCCGTCCATGGCCGATATCAGGTCCAACTCTAGGTTGCCGCACCTCAGCATGCTGTTCGCTCCTGCCAGAAAGTCCATACCCAATAGTATTCCTCCAGACACGTTCTTCAGAATCATGAACGTTACCGTGAACGCTCTTCCTCCGAAGCTAACCTTTGCTGTGAAGTTCCCTATGGCCCTTTGTCGGGCTCCGTTGGCGAGTGTGATCTCCTCTCGTGTACCCCACCATCTTCCGTGGTCCCTTAGATCCTGGTACATGTTTTTGCTGATCGCACTTCTTGATGCCCCCGTATCGACCACTCCGCGTGCCGTTCCTTTCCCGATTCCGATCCGTGCTATGATCTGAAACCCGTCACAGCTTAGGTCGTCCTCTATAGCTGGATTTCTTGTCGCCTGAGCCGCCAGCTTCATCTGCTCAGGCCTCTGTCGTTTCCCGATCCCGATCTGGAGCATTCTGTTGTCCGGGTGCCGTTTCTCCCGCAGACCCAACAGAACAATCTCGGCGGATTCGTACATGCTCTCGCTGCGTGCCCTGTTCCTCCGCAGCGCATGCATATGTCCGGGCTGAGCTGGTATGGCTGTTGGAGTTGTTGTGTGAGGTTTTCTGCCGCCTCGATCTCCTCCACTTCCTCCGCCAGCCTGAGGAACTCTGTCAGGGTGTTGAACCCCGTTCTCCGCGTATACAGCTTTATTTTGCTTCTGCAGTTCTTGTACACCCGGTCGAGTTTCTCTTCCTCCGTTAGTTTTGTGAACCGCATCAGTTTCCTCACACTCATCGCGTACTCTCTTACTGGCTCTGTTTCCCGCTGTTTCAGCTGCACTATCTGGATCTCCAGTTGTTCTCCGTATCTTGGCGGTAGGAAATGTTCCAGCAGTTCTGATGTCAGTTGCTGCCATGTTGTTATCCTGGCCGGTGCGGTGTTCCACCAGTCGTACGCGATCCCCTCCAGTATAAATGGCATGGTCTGTATTAGCTGGTCCTTCTGTATCCCGTACCCATCTGCCCATTGTTCCATCTTGCTCAGGAACTCCAGCGGGTTCGTTGTTCCTTGGTACCGGATGCCCCAACCTCTTACTCGGTCAACAATATCTGTCTCCATTCTCCGTTCTCCTTTCCTTTCTTTGACCTCCTCCATTTTATCCGTAACCGTTCCTCGGTGGTCGGTCTTTTGCTCTCCTTCTTTACCCGCTCTGACCCTTGCCGCTGCACTCGTTGTTGGTCGTTCCTCGGTGCTCCGCTCTTCTCCGTTTGTCACCACGATCGCCGGTGTTGAGCTTCTAGCCGGACTTTTCTCCTTCCTGTACTTTTCCGCAAGTTCTGTGAGTCTCAGTACCGTTGTCTCCGTGTGATCCGTTCTCTTAACGAAAGCCGCTAGTAACCGCCTTAGATCCTCGCTCTTTCCTGCGATGTTTAGCCCAAATTCTTCCGCGTACTCCGTTAGCTCACTCTTCGATGCAAGGTATACCCAGCTCGACATTACTCCCACGGTATCGGATCTTTTACTTACAACCACTTCAACCTGCTCGGGCGCCAATCTGTAACGTCCTGTCGTCCACGGGTAGTCAGCGGGACGTCCAGGGTCTGTGCAGATATATTTATTTGGTTCAGGCGTGGTTGCTGTAAGAGATTTTCCCCGATCCGTTTGCCCCCCAGGGAGAACTCGAGAGGGAAATACAGTAAAGAGTAAGAGTACGGTTTATTGACGGAATGTTACAGGGAGGTAAATTGATCAGGATTTCGGCTGTGCTGGTGACCCACAGGATGGCTCGGCCGACGGAAAAGATCGTGTCCGTGAACCCCGGGTGACGGTGGGCGTAGGCTTCTCGCGTCTGGGTGGGTCCTCTCGCGTCTGGATGCCGTCAGCTGCAGCTTGTGCCTGGGGAAGAGGGAGAAGAGAGAGGTTGGCTCTGCTCGGGGTGGCGGGTGGTTGTTGGCCGCGCAGGTCCGTATGCCGTCCGTCGCGTGGGTTCGCCAGTCGGCTCGGAGGGTGGAAGTGGGACTCGAAAGTCTGCACGGAGAAGTTGTTGTCTTGGACTCGGAAGTCTGCCAGGAGAAGTGTGGTTTGGGACTCGAAAGTCTGCCAGGAGAAGTGTGGTTTGGGACTCGAAAGTCTGCCCGGAGAATTGGACCCTAAAGTCAGCAGAGAGGTGGACCCTAAAGTCGGCAGAGATTTGGACCCTAAAGTCAGCAGAGATTTGGACCCTAAAGTCAGCAGAGAGGTGGACCCTAAAGTCGGCAGAGATTTGGACCCTAAAGTCAGCAGAGATTTGGACCCTAAAGTCAGCAGAGAGGTGGACCCTAAAGTCGGCAGAGATTTGGACCCTAAAGTCAGCAGAGATTTGGACCCTAAAGTCAGCAGAGAGGTGGACCCTAAAGTCGGCAGAGAGGTGGACCCTAAAGTCAGCAGAGGTTTGGACCCTAAAGTCAGCAGAGGTGGACCCTAAAGTCGGCAGAGGTGGACCCTAAAGTCGGCAACGATTTGGACCCTAAAGTCAGCAAGGAGGAGGGAGGGGGTTAGCGGGGAGGACTACGACTAACTACTATGTATTGGGCGGAACCTGGATTTACCTGGTTCCCGAAAAGTGACTTGGCTGCTTGGGTGATTACGATCGCAATCAGCGGCTGAGTGCCTGCTCCAGTGCCGTGGCCCGCTTTATATAGGGCTCGGCGAGGCCCTAGTGTGGCCAGCTCCCTGGTCGGTTTTTGCCACCGATAGTGTGCCCGGCCGTCGTATAGCCAGTGTGGCCGTTCGCTGATCGTGCGCGCGCGCGCTTTTGATTTAAATTCGCGTGTGTCTTCCCTTTTTCCTCCTTCCTCGCGTTTGCTCGATTGAAACACTTCATGTTCCCTTGTTTTTTGTGTTTATTGCAGCCACTTCATTTCTTTTGTTTTCTGTTCACATTTAACTTCATGTTTCTTTTGGTTTCTTTACTTCATTTTCTTTTGGTTTTCTTTTTCCTTTTTCTTATTATTGCCTATTACTTCATGTTTCTTTTGGTTTCTTTACTTCATTTTTGCTTACATATTATATTCTTATTTATTCTACTATTTTTATCTCTACTTTGTGCGCGCAGCGTCACAAATAAAAGGTAAACAATTTAAAACGAAAGCATACACAATTAAAATGAATTTATATGAGCAGGGGTGCGAGCAAAAGAGAGAAAAAAAAACGCAAAGACGAACTGTGGAATGATCCGACAAAATCAACATTTAATTTAAAACATTTTCAATTGTCATTACTTTATTTTGTTCTTTTTTTTTATGTTTCGCTTCAGGGGTCACAGGTAGAAAAATATGGGCATATCACTCACTCTTACTAACTTCCATCGACGAAAGCGCTTTCCTCGGTGCTAGCTGTGGAGCGACAAAACCCAGATCTTCCCACTGCGCCTTCGAACTAAAAAACAACATAAAATTAGGAAAAGCTGATAACTTTACTTTTGCTTAGACTCTTTTCCTATATCGCAATCTTGGCTTTCTACTCTCTCTTTCCCAGCCCGGCTTTCTCCTTAGTCGGCAAATAGATGGAAATGATTTGTGCCAACCACTTAGGATCACGTCGGATCGGATGGGATCGAGTACTGTAGAGGTAGCTTAGCGAATGAAGCACGAGCCCATAAAGAAGCCTACGATTTTGTATTTTTAAGCCACTCTTTTTATTCTACAAAATAAGTAAGTTGCAAACGCAAGAGTCAGACGCGGGACGTTGATGGCTCTACCAGGACGCGAAAGCCATTGTCTGTCCGGCCTGGTTATATTTCATTGTCAACAATTTGGCAGCCAGCCAAATTGATCCAAATTAATTTTAATGACCCCCCACGCACCACAGAGTGAGACCGTAAAACCCCAATAAGTCTGGACCAAGATCAGAGAGCCAAGGTGCCAATTGCGAGACCCTGAGCAGTGTCTAAATAGCGATTTGGTGTCATCGCTTAAAAACCTGTCGACGCACAACGCCGCCGCCGAATACCGCCACCGCCTGCAGCCGCTGCCTTTGATCTGCTTTCGGTGGTATGGCAAAAATGCTCTGGCTTTGGCTTTGCCTTCGACTTCGACTCTGACTCGTCCGCCCGAAGATGGATTCCCAATCCAGTTCTCCTCGGAGCTCCGAACCCCCAAAGGAGGCACAATATTAACGCCTTGGCCAGGGGTCTTCGCTCGGGCACGTTGCTCTTTGTCCGAGCCTTCTTTTTGTTTTTGGCGTACGCTCGATCAATTAGGCAAATTTGTTTTACGACCGCTTTTATTAGTGTCCGCTCTGGCCGGCGCTCCAAGTTAACCGAAACGCAGAACGAGACGGAGTCCGAGCTTAAGAGGAGACCTCCGTTTGACAGCGACTGGGTCCTGGGTGCGAATGAGTAATGAGACGGAGGTCCCAGCACCCGGCAGCTATGGAATGTGTTGGCAAAAATTATGTGCGCAACGTCAAGTTGTGCAAGTGGAATGGAATGGAAGAATGGATTGGAATGAAATGGACTAGCCTGGTTTGGTGTGCTTTGGTGAGTACTATTTTTGGGCATTTCCAGCAAATGGATTAGGAGCTTTAAGTAAAAACTTGAGCTCGTTATGTATAGAGTTCTGTATTCATTTTAGCCAAGAAATCCTAAGAAAACCAAGAAAAAAGGAAAACGGATACTTGGTAAGACATTATTAAATCTTAATTTATATATAATCTTAATATTTAAGCTTTCTACACTCTTTTTCTAGGATTTTAATTTTAAAAATTTAGCTTAGAGCTTAGAGCTTTTATTTATTTATTTATTAATTATTTATTTATTTATCTATTAATATTTATTCTCCAACATTTATTTATATTTTTTATTCAATGTGTTAAATTTTTGGATGAGTTTGGCCTAGCTATTGTTTTTGTTATATTTGGTTTGTGTATCCACTTCCCCTCGGATATTCTTTCCCCCCAGTTTTGAGCGCTCAGACAGGTAGGCAAAGGATTCTGATTTTTTTTGTGGGAACTTAAGATCCGATCACTCTTACGTGAATGAAAACGATACAAAAGGAAAGGTTAGGCGAACTCTAAATATAAATACACATGTAATTTCCGTTTATTTAACCATTGTAATTAAAGTCAGGGAGAAATGAACAAGGAGTAGTTTTCTTAATGGGAAGGGAGAAGGGAGCGATGGCGTAAGTGGTGTGAGTATGACGATGATAGGGGCAGCTGCATACCTAATTTCTGCCAGCAGCCTGCAAAGGACGGGAGGGTAAGGCAGAGGAGCTCCAAAAGACATCCAGGAGTCTCCCAGATAACTGACCGTTTAAAATATGTATGTTTCGTTAGTGTTGTGCAACGTCTCGTCTTAGTCGGGGCGGGATGTTTAAAAAAATAAATAAATTTATTCTGTTACGTGTGTCAGTGGGCCGGGCCAAGAACCAATGCCTGACAGAGAGCTAGCCGAGGCATGGCCCAAGCCGATGGCTGCACACGCAGGACCTTGTAGGGTCATAACAGAAATGGCGCCCGAAAGAAAACAGCACTAAGTCCTCCACAAAAGGACATGCAAAACTTCGAGGTGTGTAGGATCAGAGAATTCTCGCGGGGTCTCTAGATTGAATATCTAATTCTATAAACAACGAAGTTAGAGAGCAAAGAAAGGTGGCGGATTAATGTCCTCAAACGGGGCTTCTAGAAGCAGACTTGAAGTCATCAATTATGCGGATAAGGCAAATAAATTGATTTGCGCAAGCTGACTGAAAAAAGTCCCAAAATTGTGTTAGTAAGTAGTTAGTAATTGAAATTAGGATAAATAGCGGACTGAAACAAGGAAAAGTAAATCCGGCGACTATGGCTAGCTAAGATGCAAGGACAAAAAAGAAAAAAAATCCGTGCAACGGGGAAACCATGGTTTCATACTAGCATTCGGAATGCGATCAATGAACGCGACAAAGCTTTCAAAAAGTGGAAGAGGTATAGGACATCACATGAATATAGGAAATTTAGTTTGTTGAGACAATCTGTAACTAAGCTCATTGACATTACTAAAAGCAGCTAGTATTCCCGTAAATTTGAAAGAACATCTTCTACTCAAGAAACATGGAAAACAATAAAAAGTTTGGGAACAGGAAAATCCAAAGGGAGGGTGGAACAGAACATATATGTGAATAAACTAAATAAACAATTTATAAAATGCTCAGTACCTGAAGTTCTTGACAATCAATACTTACAACTTGCACCTGAAATCGTCTGTGATAATAGGTTTAGGTTTGTGACTGTTAATCAATGTGATATTCTACAGACTATACTTGACATTAAGAGTGATGCGACTGGACTTGACGACATTAACCCGAAATTTATCAAAATTTTGTTACCTAGGATTCTGCCTTATTTAACTCATATATTAAATAAAGCATTAACAACCTCGACTTTTCCTGACTGCTGGAAAACGGCAAAGATTATTCCGATTCCAAAATCAAATACTGACTACAGACCTATATCGATCCTGCCGTACCTTTCTAAAATAT